AGCACTACATGACACTAACAAGTTGACATTTAAAATTAAAAAATAAAAAATAAAAATGAAACAAATAGTGTACCTATGAACTTAATTCTCACGCTTTGGTTAAGTGTGTTTAGCAAACACATTTTTATAAAAAGATTATTGCTAATCACGTTGTTTACTTAGCATATAACACTGTTTGAACCATCTTTTCGGATTCTATTTTCGTTAGTCTTTAAATTCAAGTAAGAAAAAATGCCGTCAACATTGCTTTTCAAGGAAAACGAGATTGTTAATTATAAGTTGTCAAAATCTTGTTAAAAATTTTCACAATTGTCAGCAAAAAATTTGCTGTCAAATGGTCTAGTTTTTATTTTGCTTAAATAGTAAAAAAGTAACTAAAAAGTTATAGCCAAATAGAGCTTTGAGTTGAGCATGACTTGATCGTTTATGTTGATTCAAACAGAGCTTTCGATATGATGCTATTCTATATAAATTTTTTATTAAATTTGTATTATACTACTAACATTTTTTTTTAGAACACATACTATTATCATCAAAATCACAAAAATGCTAGTTGCACAGAATAAAAAAATTAAAAAATTGCATAGAAAGTACATTGTGCATTGGATTTATTTTAAATAATAACCCTATAAAAAAGGAATCAATGATTCAAATTTTTTTACTCATGAACCTTACACTTTATCAATTTAATTTTTACCACATAAATATATTTAGAATAAATTATGAATTAATAAAGATGTGCCATTACATTTTTGTATTTGAAATATTACTCCGCACACGCATTGAATCTAAGCCCAAAAAATACACTATTTGTATACTTTTATGTGCCCCAATACTGTGTATCTAGCATGTGACCATGATCAAAGGAAACGACAAAGAAAAACAAGGGTGGTGGCCTAGTGGAGAAGACATCCTTCTCCATAAGTGTGACTTAGGTTCGAATTAGTGGTAGAACTCTTTCTATGGGTTGGATCAAATCAAGCCGGCAATCAATTATCCTGGGATCTAGACCCACAAATACAAAGATGATACCTCAAAGTATCTTTTTTTTTTTCATTCAAAAAAAGAAAAGAAAAGAAAAGAAAAGAAAAACAATTGTACTTGAATCTGGGTTTATTAGAAACTTAACATAGATTTGAATCTGGGTTCATGACATAATTTCCATATGATCTATATACTCTTAATCATTACTTATAAAAGGAGGATATATATCATATGGAAATTATGTCATTTGTAAAATTTGATTATAAGAAATAACATAACTCAATACTATAAGGATCGTAACTTAACTCAATATATTATGTTTCTATGCTAATTTAGTAGAAATTTCTTTTTCAACTAAGATAGTGAACTATGCACGTAAAAGCCCGAGAAACATCACAAACACTGAAATATGCACGTGGCTCCCAAATAGGAAACTACTTTAACAAATTATATTACTTTAACAACTGGACGTGGGTTCCCACTACCTATATATTTTGTGTACAAAGCGAATAAACACTGAATATGGGCAATGTGCTGGAATTGAAGAGGAGATTTGACCAGTTCTAATTTGGGGTTACATAATAAAAAACTTGCCAATTAGTTGACATTGAGTGAGCCCTGGCTGCAGCTGTCTGAAATGTGACATGGTAGGAAGTGATTTTAGTTTTGTAATATATGTATTTATATAAATGGACAAGTTATGTATGACATGTATACTTGTCAAGAAAAAAGAAACACAGGTTTTGTTTGTAGAACACATGAAAGATTATATGCACATGCACAGGTTCTATAAACCGACCCTCTGTTCTATGTTCATTTTGCAGGGAATTTCTTTCCTTGAGTCCTTTTTAGGGTGTAAAAATGGAGTGAAAGCAATCACCGCATTGTGTCCTCCAAAGCCGAATGAGTTAGAGATAGCTATTACAAATAAAGAATAACATGATAGATTAGTTGAAAACATATGTTTGTGGGAGAAAAGGAGCTATATGTTTCATATTGTTTAGAGAAAATCCTATTGTAATGCATTATCATTTTGTTTCTTTGGTTCATGTTTTAAAAATTGACATGTGTAATGTGTGGTTGATGGTATTGTGTGTTCAAATTTGAAAGCAACTTGTAGGATGAGTAATTCACTTGCTCTCTCACACGCACATACATAACATCAACGGGAATATCACAAGTGAATTTACCCATTTTTAAAGTTATAATATGTTTCTGGTAACATAGTATGTATCTATTAAAAACTTGTCTTTTTACTTTATTTTAAAACTCTTCAAGGCTGCTTCAAATTTCAAATCTTGTAATGCTCAAAAGCCCATGTTCTTCCACAACCATATATCAACAATAATGTTTTTTTTTATTGATAAGTGGAGTTAATTAAAAAAAATGCAATAAATCATCAGAGGAGTTGATCATAAAACATTTAAGTAACATTTGAAGGTTCAACTTGTTACACTTTGTCTCATTTGTAGGATAAATATAGCTTCCATATTCTTCGTTCAACATATGATCATGGTCATGGCGTATTTGTTCTATTACTACCACTGTTGTAAGGTTTCTCTGCATACTCTACCATATCTAAGCTGTTTTTCAAAACAAAAAAATGAAAATAAGTGCATATTTATTCTATTTCAAAATCAAGTTTAGTTAAAAAGTAATAAAATTCTATACATTGATATAGCAAAAAATAAATAAAAATACAAATATGGTTAGGATGTCTATGAAAAAATATTTTTAGAATTTGCAATATTGCATAATGTATAACAATTAGGAAATCAAATGTAATATATGATTAATGCAAAACATAATTATGTTAAGCATCAATGATCATCAATCCTAATTGGTCGGTCATCATAGATAGTGAATGAAAAAAAAAAAAAACTGACTATAAGGGAGATCAATGAATCTCTAGGTAGTATTTTATAATTACAAAAATACCTTATATTTTTAATATTTCTAAAAATAAACACAATATAATTATTTCACTATCTTCATTTTTTTAAAATTATATTTATATCTCGACATAAAAATAAGAAAAAATAGCAAGTATTTAATTTGAGCCGATTAAATGCATAGTCTTATTCTTGAAACCTAAGTTATAATAGAACAACATTACTGCAGTGTCAAATCCCGCCCTCGGTGTTTGAAACACAGAGAAGTGATTAAAAAAATGGATTTTCGCTAACCTTGTGATTGATAGGCCTTGTTGAGCTTCGGGTCATGTGATCAACATGATCGGACACTTCTGGTTTCCCGTCCTGCACCACATGAATCGCTCCATCCTCTTTGAAACAAAAGATAATGTAATCCTCATCTGCAAAGTGTGGCCAGCTCGACTCATCAATCTCCTTCTCTTCTAACTCGATATTGTTACTTTGTGTTGAACTTGGGACTGTTTCTTTATCTCCATCGTATTTGTTATTGCACGAAGCCATTTTGTTCGTCTCATGAAAGGTTTTTTTCTTGTCACCATTAGAGTTAAACACCATGGTTCCTCTAGGAACTTGAGCTGTTGAAATGCAAAATGTATCTAGTTCTTTATCTACGTCACACCATTTTAATTAACTCAAGTAGTGTAGAGAGATAAAATGGGAATCACTTTGAGAAAATAAAAAAATAATTAAAAACATTTTTTTAAAACTAAAATTGCAGAGGAGTTGGGTTTTTGATCTTTTAAACAGGGTTCAATTTCAAGTGATAGAATTGACATCAATGAAAGATATTATTATAATTGGCTGTAGATTTTTAAATAGGAAAATGTTTGGTGGCCTGAATTTGTGTGGCTCAAATGGCTCAAATGTGTCAAAACGACGTCATTTTACACCTAAAACAACGTCGTTTTTGGTGTTTCGAACCATTCAAGCCAAGAAAATTCGGGCCACCTGTCATTGTTGTTTTAAATATATATATATATATATATATATATTTAATTTTTTTTTTATTATCACAACCATACTATTCCATTACAATTACCTAAGCTAAAGAATCTTAAGTTGAGGCAACCAAAAATATATTTAAAAAGAAATACACAAAAAGCTAACTTCAATAGAATTCTTTCATCAAATTTAAATTTGATGAATAAAGAGCTAAAAGTGAGCTCTAATGACATTAAACTTGTATTAAATCAAGGGAGAGACAAAACTTTTCCCAAATCAAGAACGAACCAACTCCTTCACTAAATTTCTAACAATCATATTTTTACTCAAATTTGATAAAATTTTAAAAACAATAAGGATTGGGGATGATTGTCTTTCAAAAAAAAAAGTTAAAACATGTTTTTAGAAGAAGTTTTGAATTTTTCCACCAAAAAAAAAAAAAAAGATTGATGAAAAAAAGAGTAAAGATTGGAATTTTGACCAAAATTTTCTTCAAAGTTAATAAAAACAAGAGAGAGAGAGAGAGAGAGAGAGAGAGAGAGAGAGAGATAGATTATAAGTCTGGATGAAATTAGAACTTTGAAACTTTGTGTTGGGTTACCTAAAGGAAATCTGCATGAGAGGAAACATGTCGCCCAATCCCTTATCATCCATGGTGTGCACATTGTTTTAGAGAGAGAGAGAGATGAGAGAGAGGCACCTGAATGGCAAAAGAAGAAGAGGCTGGAGTGATAATGTAGAAGAAGGAATGGCAAATTTGAATTTGAAAAAAACATTGCATTCATGGAGAGAAATTTATGGAGATAAACATGGCAACATATTAATGTTTAAAACTTTATTGCAAACAAAAATTCAAATTTATTCATATTTCATAATAATAATAATTATTCAAAAACAATAAAAAATCTATGTACCTGAAAAATATCTCGAAAACCTCAAAATTTAAGTATATGCCATAGATTCAAATTTTGTGGTAGTCATACTCAAATTATTCACATTTTTTTTTTGGAGATAATTTTCAAGATTTTTTTTGGGTACCCAATATAAACAATTTAGAATATATCAACTACCTATTCTAATCTATAAAGTCAACATAAATTTTGTCACGCTTCTTTATTTTCCAGTGATACCCATAAAAAGGTTATAAATTCAACCCATCTTTATTATTCATCAAATCGTCTAAAATTTTACATGTAAAATTACAAGCACATCGCTCGCTAGTATATATAAAAATCAAGTGGCTCTAGTTTTAGTAGTGTAACAAGGTAACATTGTATCTGATAATTGCATCCATTTGGTTCGTCAAATATGTCTTGGCTAACCAGTATCTGCGAGCCAGCCTGAACATCCCCGTGCCTCCGACGACTGGCATTTCCCTAACCTCATTTGCAATTGGATTCCGACCAATGACACTGAATGTGCTTCCATTGTAGGGACCGGTAATGAAGTTGTACGTAAGCGTCATCAGAAGGCTAAGCTCATCGTGCTAAGATGACATACCATAAATCCCTTGAGCGCGGCTCATCACGTTTGAGTTCAGAGCATGAGTGACAGTGAGCGGGTTGTCCATCATGTAGATGGATCCAAACATGGCTGCAATAGGGTTTGAGCCAGTAAAGTTGGACCGGCCGGCTACCCTAACTGCAGAAGGGTTCGGACCACCCACCGTGTCATGCATGTAGAACTCGACATGGGTTTGCTTGAGCTTCTTGGCCTCCGTGGCTTGAGAGAGCAAAAGGATTGCAATGGCAAAGAAGATCAAATGTTTCATTGCCAAAGCTATGTCAAGAATTCAATTGAATTGCTTATGTTTTTTGAGTCATATATATTGAAAACAGATGCATATAAGTAGTGAGCTGTTTTTCGACCAGGTAATGTTTGTTTTTTCAAAGCAGTTGAAAGATTGACCCTCCTCCATGTACGGATGTTATATGTTTCCGGACTGTTAAGGACAAAAATCTCCACGTGGCAAGTCCCCATTTGTTGTGGTCCACATCAGGTGGGATTAGAAGGAAACTTGGAGGTTTTTCTAATGGAAGCTTCTTCTTCTCCCTCATATTATTCAAATTTTCTGAATGGTTTAAAAAAGACAGAAGATCAAAACAGTGAGTCAAAAGAAAACACCTAAATAAATTTGAAACTCGTAAAAAATCAAAAAGTCATCCCAAACATATTAATTTTTTTTTACATTATATTTTAACTAAAAAGTCAAAAAGTTACTAAAAAAACATGTTTCTAAATGAGGCCTCGAAAATATGAGTTTCACATGTGAATTCTATTTGGACAAGTGTCCCACTTTTATCTTATATATGTGTTCTAGTATGGGAAAATCTTCTATATTCACAACTGCTTGAGAGAAAGATCTTCCTATTTGCATTAGCCTTACTAAGAAAGGTCTGTATAATTATGTACAAAGTTTATTATATATATGGTTTACACATCAGAGGTGGTGTGTGTAATTCGCCATTTTTATTTTTAGATATTTGAAAGTTGGATATGTGGTTGGCAAACTATTATCAAACTTGTAATGCTCAACATACTCTTTTCAAACCTCAAGAAATAGTAGTGTAATTTATTGAAATAAAAAATAATATAAGAAAAATGTTAATGACCACCCTGTAAAAATTATATGAATGAGAATATATAAATAGTTCATAGAAATATTTAAAAACATGTTAAAAATGCAATAAAATTGTATATATTTTAGCATTTCCTCCACCGTGTGATATTGTTAGCACAACCCTATATTTAAAAAAAAAAAAAAAAAAAATAGTAAGATAAATTGCACTAACTTCCCTCATGCTTTTGCAAAAAAAGACAACAAATTCTACAAATTTAGCTTAATTACGTTGTACTCCCTTGAGATTTAAATTGACATATCACTTTGTTTCCTTACCATCAACTCAGTTAATCATATGAAAGAAAATAATTTTGTCCTGTTTATACTAAAATATATATTTTATTTTAATTATCTTCCATCTGTCCACACACCACATGCATTAATCTAGTTTGCTTTACCTTTACTAAAGAGGAAATCCACATAATTATGCCAAACTTATTATGAGGCTTGTAATTTTTCCAAATCTCAAGTGTAATTTACCCTAAAAAATCAATGTTATAAAAGCTAATAAATTTCATGAACTTTTGTTATTAAATAAATCTCATTTTGCCAAACAGCAATCATCTTTCTCAATCAGTTGGGCATTAGTTCACCTACTCAAATCTCAAAAATGTGATAAAATACATCAGCAAACTACATGCGGAACTTTCATATGTGAAGAAGAAAATATGTCAAAAATGTGCAGCCACCGACTTTTTTATAGGATTAGACAATTGCTATTTACAATTTTAGAATGGAAATGATCATAAATTCAAAGAATAGTAGTTTTAAGAACATGGTATGGGATTGGCAATAATAGAAAACTATGATAACAAATAAAAATAAATCAATTAATCTATCATCACCTGGAAAATTCAGCAGAAGTCGCTCAGTTTGCCAATTTTAATGTCCTGCTCCGCTAAAAAGCCTGTAATGGCATTTCTTTGCCAACTTTTGAAACTCCTGCATCCATCAGTAAATAATTGATGACCTTAGATAGATTACTGGTAAAACAAATGAACAAAGTCCCTGCCAATTATGCACATAAAAAGTAAAAATAAAAATCATTCCACCATGCAAGATTATAGACTAAATTACAGTAAAATACTAGGCTGTGGAAAAATTCCATATGGAACTCTTAGCTCAATAAAGTATGAACAGGCACGTATTCTTCGCATTAAACATTAGACAAATCTGTGTAAACAAGTCAATTTGATATTTTAATTACTTTGTATAACTTCAAGTGGTCGGTGGGGTAAGACTTTAATTTCCAACTTTAATCACTCCCCTAAGCCAAAGTCAAGTACAATGTTTAAAATTCAATTTCTTGATCATTCAAGGCTCAAGTAGGACTTGTACAACTAATTTTTCAATTTTAAAAGGTTTAACAATAAATTTCTTGACCATTTAAATATGAACTGTACAACTAAGTTTTCAATTTAAAAGATGTTTAAAAATTAATTTCTTGATCATTTAAGGCTCAAGTATGACTTATATAACCAATTTTTCAATTTAAAAGAAGTGTACTCAATTTTCAAGTTTGTACTAGATCGTACAAGTGTACTTTCCTTGTAAAGGTTTATTTGGTGACATATCCTTCACAAATTGTAAATATTTAATTTCACAGATGAATCACATTTATCTCAATATCATAAAAAGGCATATAATAAATTGAAGTGCAAAGTATAAAAAAGATGAACATCAAGATTTTTATAGTGGTTTGGTGACTTGCCTATATCAACTCCTGACATCCCTACCGGCATTAATCCACTATAATCAAATGGATTTTCACTAGGGTAACCCAAAACTTTTACAATCACTCCTTCAAGGATTTTAACTAGGTACCTCTTCCACAATCATATAATGGGTTTAGGCTCACTCAAAATCACAAACTTAAAACGCTTTGCTAGACTTACAAAATCTATAAAATGAGGGGACCTGATAACCTTAACCCTTAAGCCCAAAATGACTCCATGTAAGACTAGTGTGGTGTGAGATGAACAATAGTGTAAAGTCTATACTTAAGGGACAGGGATTATACCTTTCACAAGTGGATATAGGGGTAAGCTCTTGAAAGCACTTACTTTATGAATGAAAGCTACACACTCTTCTTTCATATGTTAGATTTACACTCAAAATGCATATGTTGGTGTATAAGAGATGTATAAGGGTCTCTAGGTGCCTTCCTCTCATCAAAAGACCCCAAATGGGAGTGTTCGGGTATTTATGTCAAGACTTCAACGGCTATTTTTTTCTAAAAATTTCCAAGGTATGGTCGACCATATTGACTCATAGTAGTTGTTCACATCCATCAAGATGGTCAACCAAATTATGATCACTGTAGTCTACCACATTTATGAGCATAGTCGACCATACGATGAGACAGACTAATCCTACTCTGTGGTCCTCTCTGTGGTCATCCATGCTACACAACATGGTCAAACAAGCTGAGAAACTTAGGGTTTTATGGTCTTTGTTTGTTTGTAGTAAGTTGGTTCTATCCTAATTCAAAACCTTCTTCATGCCGATGAAACTCTCCCACAACACTTAATGCATGCCGAAGAAAATCTCCCATCACTTCAAGCTTCTATGGTGTTGTAGGTAGCCAAATGTGCTCTCTTCATAGTAGTGACTTCAGTTCTATAAGAGAGACCTATTTTGATTTGTGTGACATCTCTAACAAATTATGCAGATGTCGAAACTAACCATTTTATGGTGCTGTGCAAAATTAGCATCCCCACAATTTCAAGCTTATAGTAGTTTTCTTTTTACACAAGATGAGCATTTAAAGTATGATAGCAGGGCTTTCTTTGCATCAAGGGGATTATGTGAACTTCCAATGTACTTGGCAAATACCTAACTTGTTTAATCACCTTATGAATGATCTCATAATTGATTCATCCACTGATTGCTAATTTGCATTTATACTGCTCGATTGATAAGATTTTGTGAGAGAAGAAATGAACAATGAGAGCTTGGGTTGGGGTCGCTCTTGTAGAAATTCCAGGTTTTATGCTCTTACAAAATCTTAGCAATCAAACACAGCATTATGGTAAACTTGGTTTTATGTCTATGTATTAAAATAAAAAACAATTCTTTGGTGGGAATGACTAACTTGTGATCAAGATGTGCCATAACTTCACCCCCTGGAAAAGCTGCCTTTGTAGTCTCACAGGCAACTTTGATTGCTTCTCTCCAAGTTCCACCAACACCCTCCACATTTGTCTGTTTAGATTGACCCAGATCTTCCATAGGCAATGAATACCCAGAAAGCAGATGGCCCACAAAAACACCACCTTTCCTGAATTTTTTTTTTTTTAAAAATGGAACTTTTTAATAACAAGCGCCTTTACAACCTCAACTTAGGCATCAAAATTTGAGAATAAAATATTTTAAATGTTAATTTTATTAATTGAAATTTGAAGTTATTTATGAACCCCCAAACAGGACCAGGCTAGTATTCACGCATAATGAAATCAATGCAGATATAGTTTAAGCAAAATGTTTAGTTTGTAGTGATAGCAACAATTTCAAAGAGAAAATTGAAAATATTGAACATTGACTTCAGGTGAAAAAAACACTGATGCAAACAGAAATTTCATCAGAATTTGAAACTGGCAATGGTGCCAACAGAATTTTCTTGCTTTTTTTTGTGCGAGTTCTTTTTTATATATTTTTTCAGTAAGGAACTTCAGTTTGCTTCATCAACTGAAACATGAGTTTTCTGTTAGGAAATAACACCAATTGAAACAAAAACAAATCTAAACGGATATAAATGTAGGAATTAGGCTGAGGACAAACCACTAGAAGCAGAGTTCTGAGTTATTAGAATCTTTTAATCTTGACTCCTTTTCACATTCAGTTGATCTAAATGGACATGGCTCAAAAGGATAGATCTATTTTATCATGACAAGTTTGATGTATTAAAATATTTCACTGTTTCCAGTCAAAACATTAACCTGATCTAAGGAATCTGTTCCATTGATGCCCCTTTAAACCATTTAGCATATTAGATAAACAAACTAATGGAATACTTGGAAGTTGGCAAATGTATAGCACGCCATTTTACATCATGATTTTTCTCTTTTTTGTATTTGGTGGGGGAAAGAAATTTTCAAATTTAACCCAACCAAATGAAATGCGGTGAATATGATGATAGGTCCTACTCAAACAAATTATCTAAAACTTTCCTACAATGAAAGAGGATGGAAAAGAAAGGACTGTATGGAAGCACCTGTGCAAAGCAAAGACAGCAGGAGGAAACCAAAATGAGAAATGTGAAGAATTTTTCAACCAAACCCAACCAAGTGAAATTGCAATGATTATGATGATAGGTCCTACTTTGACAAAGTAGCTAAAAGTTTCCTATAATTAAAGAGGATAGCAAATGCACTAAGAGGAACCCAAATGACAAATTCAAAAACGACTCATTCGGTCACAAATTCAAAGTTTCCTATTATGATTAACAAGAAGATTTTGATCTCCAAAGTCAGCAAACTAACAAAAGCTTTTCATATTATCAATACAAAAAGACAAAAAATTACATGGAAAGAAATGGCACATTACAAGAAGAGTCATTGAGAACTGATCCATGTTCACAAACTTATATCCACTCCAGCTAATCAGGGAACATACACATGTATATATATACATCTATAAGAAAGAAAGAAAGAAAGAAAAAGATACTCAACTAAAGCAATGTCTTGGGCAGCATCCCGCCTCTTCCAGTACTCTTCTGTACTGCCTAGAAACAGAAGGAAGCAATTTGCAATGAATTAAATCATAAAAATATCCAACTGGGAATTAAGATTGACAAAGATAATTTCAGGTTTGACCTGTCTATTGCTTTAAAAACAAGCTATTGCATATCAAACATGGGGCGGAAAACAAAAAAACTGTAAAACATAATCTTATCTTCAAAAAATTGCAAATTGTAATATTAATAAAACTGGCAGGATTTGTGAAGAGAAGTATACCGATTTCTACAAACATTGTAGGTAATTTCAGGTCCATGATGAGTCGCTTCCAATGTGACCTACACCGAGCAATGCCAATAGGAAACAACCCACCCTATGTATGTGTGCTCACACATGAAAGTATACTTAAAATGTAAATAAAAATATATATCTACCAAAAAAGGAAAGCCATGCAAGGTAAGGAAAGATGCACTGTAAAAAGATAAAAATATATGTTTATTATAATAACAGTAAAATTATTTTATAGGTAAAAAAGAGAAATGGCAGAACTCAAACGAAATTACATGCCAATCAAGGCTAAACTAAAACAAATTCTAGATTAACTCATGCTTTGGGGATATTTATGAAGTGTCATAATTACTTTCTTTTGAACTTTTGAGGCCATGTTCCAGCTCTGGTAAAACGAGGTGGGAATAGAAAGTAAATGGAGAAAGGATTCAAGATTTCAAATTATTAAAAAACGGCCTTCCAAATTTCCGATAAACAAATTTACATGAACAGAGTGCAAAGCGAGGTCAACTAACTCGAGAACATTAGTGGTGAGTGTCTACTAACCATATACATGCATGCAATTTCATTTTTTTCTTCCTTGCTTGTTCAATTCACCGCATTTGGGCATGTTTCGAATTTTATACTTTTTAAAACTATTTAATTGAATTTGGAAAAAAGTAGGTCACTCACTACATTTTAGGAAAAAAGGGGAAACATGGTTGAAGATGGGAGATAGTAGAGAGCCAGATAATAAAAATGAGAATTAGGTATAATTATTTTGAATACTTTTAAAATGATGGAGGAGCTTAGAATCTAGTAATTTAACAAAATAAGTGACAATTAAAAAGACTAACAATGTGTTACCTCAAATTCAGGAGTGAGATTATGTGATTCAGCAATAGCCTTCAAGAGCCACAAACACGGTCCTATTCGAGGATTAGGTGGTGCTGCCCACCCGGGCTTTCCACCTGCAGGTGGCACCTCGTCTTGGCGTAAATGAGGCATGCCTAAACCAAATGTCACACAGAGAAAACATTGCACGACGACACATAATCAGTACACGTAATGCATATCACAGGAAGTAATTCGAGGAACAGTGAATCAAAACCTATCAGCATAGTTTTAGTACCAATTGGATGAACAGTAAGTGCGGGACGATTTGAGGCTGCCGTGTGCTTGCTCAAAAATATGACCTCATCGACAACTTCTCCAGTCGCCTCCTCCCAACGCTTGTCCAAGTGATCCTCCCTTACAATACTCTTATCATGCTTCAGTAACCTCACTGCCCTATTCATAAAACTCGACTTATCCTATACACAAACCCGCAAAAATTTAGTCCTAAACCAATATAATCATGATACAAATTCATACATTTGTCATAAGAGGCTTTAACCATTTCACATTTTTCTTTAAATTTAAATAAAACAGATAGTATATGGAAAAACTTTATTATCAAACTACAAAAAAACGTGATTAACAACCGCACCAATTTTTTCTTATGCATATCACTATTTGAACTATCTTTCCGCATTCTATTTTTCCCACAAGTGTTAAAAACCAACAATACTTTCACCAAAAAAAAAAAAAAAATGGTTTAAAAAAAAAAAGGGGTGATTGGTAAACACGTCTTACACTATTTATTTAATTTTGAATTTAGCAAACTTAAAATGTTAAAAGCCCTTGTGACACCAATAACCCTTGTGAATGGGTTCAGAAACCATTCCAACATTGAACAATTCCATTTTTTGTGTAGTTGGGCCATGCTTGTTTGAAAAGACCGAGTTACATGGGATTAGCATAGCATTCCAGTTAGTCCGAGGATTATCAATCCTTTTAGGTCATGTTTGTTTGGGTGGACATGAGCTTGGGATTGGACTAATAGTCCAATAAAATTATTAATCCAATGTTTGGTTAAACAATTGAAGTAGGGACTAATTATTTTAAACTTGACTATTAGTTAAGATAGGATACATAATCCAACGGATTTGTAGTCCTAGGACTATTAGTCATGGGAATGCTAATCTAATCCGTCCAAACAAACATGGCCTTAGATTATATTTCGTATCGTATGTTTGGATTAACTTAAGATTACGAACAGCGATGGACAAAATCCTATCAATGCTGCAATTTAAATTTGTATTCCACCATCGCTTGGATTCAATAGTCCCCACATGGGGATAGTGTGTCCACATGGACTATTAATCTAAAAATTCCAATTTTCTTGGTAAATATTAAGCATTTTGTTGGTTTATTAATTCAAATCTTGAAATTTAAATAATTAGTCTGAATCTTTTCTTAATCCTTCATTTTGTAACTATTAATTAATCAGAATTCTAACTTTGTTAATCAGGATTAAGCATTTTGATACAGTGATTCCATTTTCAATATTTGAGGTGACAAATAAACTGATTTGTAATGTGTTGTTAAGTGACGATGAGCGGCGCAATATAAGGACTGAAGCGAGAGGAGATGCTAACCTGGAGGAGAGGACCAGGATACCAACCGGGCATGGATAGGAGGGCAGAGGCTGGGTCGATGGTGGTGGCAGCGTCACCATATCTCCGATTGTGTTGCTAAAATGCGCCCGTACAACCCTTGTAATGCTTGGTATGTAAGGGCCAAAGGGAATGGGAATGTTTCGCCTTAGAGTTAGCTGTCCAAATCCAAGTAGTGTCTGTCATCTTTCACCACTGAGATGATATTAATCTTTTTGCGAACTCATTCAAGTGGAAAGAGAGAAAATATTATATAAGGATTACGAAAATTAAAAATTAATCTGATAAAAATAAATATAAGATATTTTAAAAAAATTTAAAATTATTTCGGTCATGATTACTTTTAAGAAAAATTGCAGAAAAATGATAAGGACAAAGAAATTGCTGACTCAATGGTATTCCCAAACAAATTTCAAAAATTAAAAAAATACAAAATAGAGAGAGCAGAGCTTCACTCTCTAAAAGATTTTTGACGGTATTGCGGTGACCCCTTTTTATATTTTTAAAGTGTAAATTTACACTCTTAGAATATAAATCTGTAATTTTAAAGTGTAAATTTGTACTTTTGATGTTTGCAATAGAGATTTCAGGATTTTCTCCTCCGATTTTAGAATAAATTTTTGGATTTTCAATACCCACAATAGTTTCCTCCTCTCTCAAGCCTTCTCCCATACCATTGTGGGTGTACTTCTTTCTCAACTTAACTTCTGGCGGTGTCCGAAGTCCAACGACGACGGTGGCGAAGTTGGGCAGCGATGACAAGGAAGACATCAACTGGTACGGCAGGCTTTTCAAGCAGATCTTACTTGGTTTGATGTAGATTTTGCTTTCTAAACTACATCTTTGAGAAAAATTAGTGATTTTTCCTAAATCGTAATTAATTGGTTTTTCAAAAAAAAAAAATATGTATATATATAAAATGAAATGATGATATCATGAATTTATAAAGACAAAACTACCCTTCTCTTATTGTCTTCCCCTTCATTTCTTCTACAACTTTGGCTAGCTACCACCCTAGCTCATTTTCTTGTTGGGATCGTCTGTGACGTGTGGTTGAGCTCCATTAGTGTCTCGATGGTGGGTCCTTTCTTATGAGTTGGATGAAATTAGGCCAGCAATCGATTATCTCAGAGCCTAGACCTACGAATATAGTGATGATACCTCAGAGTATCATTTTTTTCGTTAAAAAAAAAAAAAACAGAAAAACAATTGTACTACATACTACGCCCTCCCCAAAAAAAAGAACAAAAAATTTTTATTCAAAATTTAAATGTGAACAATTTAATCTGCACATGACTCACGACACACTAACTCTAAATGTACATCCTATACTTGATGCTCATGATAAAATTTTGATTAAATTTTTATCTTAGCTAGAATTATTTGTAGAAAAATACCGAGAGAGAGAGGGGGAAAAAAGAAAGAAAAACGAAGTTTCCAAAACAACAACAGTGACGACGAGCAGCCAGGTCCTTGTTATAGCGCCCCAACCCTTTACATGTCATCGATATTGTCCTTTTTGGGCCACGCCTGCACGGATTTGTTCTTCCCAATAGGTCATCCATCCCAGAACTACTCCAGCCTAAACACACTTAACTGGGAAGTTCTAATAAGGATCTCACCACCTAGGAAAAGGCCTAGATGCTATATAAGGGTCTAATTTTTTACTTTTATAGCCTAGGAACTCTCTCTCCATTCCTGATCTGGGACACTAGGGCCTTACAATTCACCCCCCTTAAGGCTGTACGTCCCCGTGCAGTAGCCTGTTAGCTCGCAAGCTCGCCCACAAGCACCGAGAGACGCCAGCGACCCACACTTGGTACTCTAGAGAGTCGGCTCTGATACTATTTATAACGCCCCAACCTTTCAAATGTTATCGATATTGTCCGCTTTGGGCCACGCCCGCACAGATTTGTTCTTCCCAGTGGGTCACCCATCCTAGAACTACTCCAGCCTAAGCACGCTTAACTGCGAAGTTCTAATAGGGATCTCACCACTTGGTAAAAGGCCTCGATGCTATATAAGGGTTTAGGTTTTTACTTTTATAGCCTAGGAACTCTCCCTTCATTCCCGATGTGGGACACTAGGGCCTTACAATAAAAAGTTTGGGGATAATGAATCTGTCAGACAACCTCTTAACTGTTACAACCAGTTTGCATTAGCTGAGAACAATCCCCTGTGTATCTGTGGACCAGCAAGCCGCAACATAGATGTCACGACCCAAACCCGCCCCTATGGGTTAAGGACGTAATCGGCCAGTAATCCTGAGATTACCTACGGCCTCAAACCAAAATAGACATAACTCGACAGAGTAAAGGAGCCAAACGGAAGCAATAATCAAAAACTTTGTCCATAGAGCCGTGCTTATATGCACTACAAAACAAACCATACTCATATACGTTAATAACCCACAACAAGTACAGTATCACAAAATCCTTTACAGACAGAATCATCCAAACTGAGTCAACCCATATCAAAATTATATACAAATGTACACCAAGTCCTTGCCAACAAGACAAACTATAAATACATAACAAAATGGCAAGGATGGGTCTCGTACGTGAGACACAAGGCTGACTCTCCAAAACTCATGTTGTTCCTGGCAGACTTCACTGGGGCTGGGTTTGGACTTCCCTCGGCTCACCTACAAACACATGAATGAGCGTGAGCGATAGCCCAGTGAATAATATCGAATACATACATTACATAAGCAATATGAAGAACAACATGCTCCGAACGGCCTTAAGCCCAATGCATATTTCTGCTTAACATATATACACTTATGCAAAATTCAGATCAAATGACTGTAGTTCCAAACATATTGGCCTTTGGCCCAATCAGATTTTCATTCATGTCAAAACGGCCTTCGGCCCATTCATCTATGTCAAAACGGCCTTCGGCCCATTCATATTTGTCAAAACGGCCTTCGGCCCATTCATTTACGTCGAAACAGCCTTCGGCCCATACATTCGTGTCAAAACGACCTTAGGTCCATTCGTTTATGTCAAAACGGCCTTCGGCCCACTCATTCATGTCAAAACGACCTTCGGTCCATTCATTTCTATCAAAACAACCTTCGGTCCATTCATTTCTATCAAAACGACCTTTGGTCCATTCATTTTTGTAATGTCAAACTTTTGTCCACAAATCCCAATAAGCAACTCATAAAGCTTATAAGGGAAATAACAATTGGACATTGACAAGCTTTCAAATATCGATATTACTCACAGTGATCAGCTTGTGGATTCGCCCTGGAGCTTGACCCTACACATTCCACGAACACAAAAGGGTCATTAATAATTCAACCCGTTCTTTAATTCACATATTCCTCTTTAGGCTTTATTCTTATCTCATTAACTCATTTACAATGCTTAACACATGCCTAAGAGTGCTTACAAGTGAAAGAGAACGGAAAACAAAACACAGAACGAGCATATAAAATTTCAGAGAACAGGGTCCTCGCTCGAGCGTCAACTTCCCCGCTCGAGCAGAACCTTAAGGCCTGCAAAAGTACTGGTTGCATGAAAAATACGCTCGGGCGTCGAATAGAGCGCTCGAGCGGAAGGCTTGTCTACAAAACTCCCCGCTCGAGCGTGAGATATCCCGTTCGAGCGGCCCTTATCCCGCTCGAGCGGAAGTCAAAATTCTGGAAATTCCAGTTTGTGTTTTTGAGCTCCAAATCGATTTTCCAGCTACATTACTTGCATGCAATGGCTCAAATCTCAAATATAATCATACTAACATGGCACCAATGCAAGATTATAACATTATGAAGCTCAATCTCTTGATTTATCTACATGCATGTCCCAAAATATGTCAAACCTAACACCAACATAGCAAACTCATGCATTCAAGCTCATATCTTCTCAAATTGTACATGCATGTGATGAATTAGCCACATTCTCAACTTAGATAACACAAGTGGTGATCAAAACATGAGTTTCCTTTAACATTTCACATGGATTATACACATCTGTGTTCAAACATGCAATTTCAAAGTAAGTCTTTACATGCATGCACATATTAAGCTTCAATTCAACAAATCCAACACAATTTCATTTCAATCTCACTCTTGATCACCAAATTAGCTTGAACACACAAAATTACAAACTATAATCCAAGAATTACTCACCTAAAAGCTTTAATCTTCTAAGCTCTAGTCAATTCTTGAGCTAAATCTTCAAATTCCAAAGATTGGGCCAACAATTACGTAATTCTTTCCTCCCCCGTCTCTACAGCCAGCTCTCTCTATGTTTTTGAGTCCCAAGTTCAGTCAAATAAGGTGAATAAGAGAGAGTAGGGAGTATAGAGGCTTACAACAAAACCCACTAAGGCCAAATAATATTAATAAAGTAATTGAGCTCTAATTTATCAATTAAATCGACTTAATCTTACCCGAATCAATTTTTCAATTAAATTTCACCGTAGGCTCTAAAAATTACGCTAATCACAATGGCGTAATTAATTTCGAGTTCTGTGGCTGATAAGGCCTTCAATTTAATTTCCAAAGCAGATTATTCAAACAGATATTCTTACGGTGAACAGATAAAACTTCAAAATCACATATTTTCATATAATGACACATAAAATCATGCTAAACACATAATCATGCTCAAATTAAGGACCAATTAGCATACTACGGAACAGGGGTATCACAACAAAGCCTCTAATCACGCTCTTGTTAAGAGGCTTTTGTTCATCCACTAGATTTTAGGTCCTAACTCCTTAGAGCTTAAGGATTCCAAAATACAGTCCTATAGAACAGATCAACAATACCCAAAAGCTTAAGTCCAAGTTATTTAGTAGCAAGGTAGCAGTGCTTTATATGCCCAAGATCACCTATGCAAACTTTCGATGTGGGACAGGGTGTTACAAACTCCCCCCACTTATAAATCCTCGCGTCCTCACGAGGGTTTATAATCAATCAAAATACCACGACAAGCTCGTGACCAGCCCAGAATAAGTGGCTCACATGGTTGTGTGCATGGGTCAGCTTTGATACCATTTGTAACGCCCCACTACTTGCTGGCCCAAGCAACCTGTGGGTTGACCAACAATACCCAAAAGCTTAAGTCCAAGTTATTTAGTAGCAATGTAGTGGTGTTTTATATGATCAAGATCACCCATGCAAACTTTCGATGTGTGATAGGGTGTTACACTTGTGGTGCTTCCTAAAGTGGAGGGAGTCTGGTTTTGGCATTTGGACAAGGCTTC